AGCAGAAAATAACACCTGGTCGTAAGTACTACTCCAAGACAAGACTCTGAAGATGTTGAGCGGATGATTTAAGCAGACAAATATAATTGAACATCGTTGGTTTCATCAGGATCCCTAAAATGATGTTGCGGAATGATGCATCGTGTCTTCTATCTTCTCACCAGAGGATGGCATCGTGTTGCGTCGAACTTCGGCATGACTACACGGAGCGTCCTACAGTGTTTTTTATTTTTGAATTTAATTCGCGGTTGCTCTTTATGCTGTAGGTTATGGCTGTGCAGGACTGCCAGGCTTTTTCCAAGGGAACTGTATTAACTGCTGCAAGACGACTACACTATTCCTGCATTTGGACAATCACCAAATCTCTATGCAATTGTATGCACCACTGCATTCCCGGATTTACTGTGTTTTCACCACCTAAATTACGCAAAATTCACCCTAATCCTCCATTTTCTTATGTCCAGGAATTTTTTCGATGTCACATGGTAGACGGCATCTTGAAAAGATTTCCGCATGCTGTCCTCTTCAGTAGCTACAGACAAGGTTTTCGTTTTCCATTCAGGTTTGTAATGAAGAGATCTTCCTTTTAGATAGAACGGCCCTTAAGGTGTCACTTGGTTTATCAAATTTTTAATGCCTAGTCTGTTTCAGAATTCATTACAGGTCTTCAAAAAAAAATACCGTCGATGTTTTGTCCTTTCCGGCTCTCCGTTATGCCGATTCTGGGGCTAGCTTCGTGTAGGACCTTCATCAACTTGCATTGTATCGTGTTATTTCTTCTCTTCTGTGCTCTCTGATGAAGGCGCTAGGGCGGTATTTCTGATTTGGTCGTTCTGAGCGAATGATAACAAACGATTTTGAGCCATCATCTATTTTAAGCATGAATTAAACGTTGTGAAACTCACCGAATAGCATACGTTCATTAGCCACCTCTGATTATTGAAGCTTCATTCATTGTACAGTGGTTTCCAACAGAGTGCATTAACCCCTGATTGTGATTAAACTCCAGTTTAGGCGATTCGAGTTTAAAGTTTAACTTGATCGGGTGCATGTAATGCTGCGATCTGGCTTCTACTGTTTAATTTTACTTTACTTAGGCGTGTTTAGTTTCGTGCATGAAAGAAAACGGTATGATTTTGTTCATGTGCTCGGAATGTGTTGCTTGTTTGTTTGCTAAGACCATCACCTTCAGCCGTTTGCATAAATAGAGCGTCTTTGATTTGTGATGGCCACTAAATTCGCTGCTTTGCAACAACTTTGCTATATGGCCACGGTTACTGCATCGTAAAAGGAACATTTTCTCTCCCAAAAGCGGATCTGACTTACCTTGTTCCCTCAGCGTGTATTTTAGCCTCATGGTCGACGCCGTCCGTGTTTTGGCTTCTACACAAGAAACTCACAGAATGGAGTAAATGGTTTATACTCAATCAGTATGTCTAACAGGGCTAACCTCTTTCTTAATCTCCACATCTGCTGAGATTGCTTTTGCCTAGAACAGAATTGAGTCATTAGTTACGTGGCCCTGCCATTTAACTCCCTTTATGCGTTCCTGTCCCGTCTTTGGCACAACTGTTTCCACAACATTATTGACCTGACACAGACAAGGTACAGACGGATTTTAGTGAGATGTCGATCTCCTTTCTCTGCCCAGATATTGGAAAGGTTTTTAAAGGCACTCTAGTACTTTAGGGCGATTCTCCTGTTTGACTTTGGCTAGTTAGCGCCATTTCTGGAGATGATGGAGTCAAAGTACTTAAACTGGTCATTCTCCTGAAGCGCTTCGCCTCCCTGTTTTACGTACAAATTGGCCGTGCTGGATGAGATTTTCTTAACTTTTGACCGGCAGGCGTTAAGGTTAAGGATGAGACTTGCTTTTGCCGCTCTGTACCATACCAAAACCTTCTGGGGACAAAGCCCGCTTCCACTACTCATCATGATTATATCAGCTGCATTCTTCAGTTGAGCAAGATATCTAGACAGATATCGGTTTTGCCATGGTCAGCACCGCTTCGTAGAAGAAGGGCAACAACAGTGTTGAATGGAATGGCGAGAGCACATCTCTCCGATAAACTCCGCAGTTATTAGGGAACCGTTCAGAAAACTCTCCTTCAACGCTGACAACAGATATGGTACTTCCGTACGCTTCTTCCAATATAGAAACGATGTACTGTATTCCATAACAATATAAGATTTTTCACATCGTCGGACGATGTGTTGAATCAGATGCAGCCTTCCTTTGGCATTGTTCAGTGATCCCTCGCGGAATGAAAATTTTCAGGGACAGGAGTACCCCATCCGGACACCTGCTTGATTTTGGCGAAGTTTCATATCAATTGCCTGCCTAAGCCTTTCCGCTATAATTCAGGAGAAAATTTTCCCGATAGTTACCTTACAGGATTACCACCGTAACTGGTACACGCATTCACTGATCCCTTTAAATATACGAGCAAAACAATTACTCAAACACATTCTCATTGGAGACATTTGTAGGTCAGTGTTTGATGAAACAGTGCATGGAGCTTCTGTACCATACCTGTTCTTCTGTAATTAATTAACTTCAGAGGAATTCGTTCTATCTTGCAGGCCTTATTCACGTTGATGTGTAACAAGACTATGTGGATATCTAGTTTTGTTGGTAGATCTCTATTAATCTCTAGTTTTGGTAGAGAATTAACTATCGGAAATGACGAATCTGAAGGGTTTGTAGTTGTAAATTCTCTGGCCATCTTTCGACGTGTTTCTTCAGACTTTCCAGTAGGATACCCAAAATTATTTTTATAAGGACAGGCCGAGTCACCTGCTTAAGCGGACAACTATCGCAGTTTTTGAACAGTGTTCACCACTCACCGTTTCTGACAGCCTTGTCGATCTTCCTGATTTTCCTTCCAATCAACATTCCCTGTCTCACTTGTGGCTCTAGATGACTGTGCGAACGAGATGGCGATGAGCTATCTTCGAAGGTTCCTTAAAGTATTGTACGGGTGCTTTTTCTTTGCCTGATTTATTTACTCTTTAAAGCATGGGGTCTTCTAAATATCCCCGGGCGGTTTCGCCATTCTCTTCCTGAACCCAATCACGATTTCTTCCCGAGGAAATGACGGCTGCTTTGAAGTTTTTGTATGCTTCACTGACGTTGCCACATTCTGAATGGGCATTATGGGTGGCATTAAAATAACTCTACCGGCCATGCCTCTTGCACATACCTTAACCTGTCAACGTCGAGAAGCCGATATGTTTCAACGAGACGATGTCGATGCGACGCAGGCAAGATTCCGCTAGAACCATTTGATGATCTCACGCCGTGCAGTACTATGCAAGTCGAGTCTCGAAAAAAAGGACCTTTGCGATTTATGGTTGATGAGGACGTTGTCCAGCTAGGAGTTTTGGCTTCTATAAGAAGAAATCTTGGTGGATTTGTCCCCGGACGAAGCTGTTTGTCGTGCATACGCTTAAAAGACATGGTAGCTAGTACTCCTGGCCATGAGCTGTTTTCCGTGCCCTGATACACGTTGAGTTTGCCTATGACAAATGTGATACCGTGACGAGACAAAGCTCTAACATTCCACTGCAAGGAGTCAGAAAACATCTTTGTCTGTCACTCGACACAGATGTCGCAACAAAGATGACAACGACATGCAGCGTCTCCTGTTTTACATTCAGCGACGGATCAGAATTCTCGTTGATACCTGTTTCATCGAAGTGACCCGGCTGACCGTAAGGGACAAAGATGCCCATACCGACATGAAACTCTACTGTGCCCTGACCACGAAAATGACCATCCATCCTGCTGGTCAGACGAGCTTACATGATTGCCGGTACATCCAGTTTATGCCGACGGGTCGTATAGTAGACATCATATAACTCAACTTCGTCAGGCAAATGAACTCCATCATGCAACACACAATTTACATCTTATAGTGTTGATTGCTGGTTCCTAGTTGACCGATAAGCTGTAAGTGGGAACTGCTTGATACGCAACTTATGACCACCATAGCAAAGAATTTGCTGCCTATATCTTTGAAATCAACCTGTCAACGTGTGTCTGTTTTTTTCTGAACATTCTCTAATCTGTGCCGAAGTTTGTTTTGTAGAACCTTGACCTATAATGTGTACATATATACATATATATTGCAAATCTAATCAAGACTATGGCCACGATAGAACTGCAAGATGTACAACAGTGCAAGGC